GAGAGAGAAAAGACGATCTATATATCATGGCATCGAACCGCACATAGGACATATAGGTCTAAACAAGAAGAGAAAGAAAAAAAAGATAGCGATAACAATGTACTATCTGTTATCGCTAACATTTACTATTTCGAATTGTTGCCAACACTTGTTCAATATTTCCATTATTTATATCAATATCTGCTAATAATGTGACATTTTCTTTTCAGTTTCAAATATGTCCAAATAATTGCTTTCGAAATATATCGAATTGCAGAGAAATAATTGTGTTTGATATTGATTTAAATGTTGATATTAAATTGCCAGTTGTTGCATTAATAACACTTAAGATAGGTCTATTATCATTATCTGATATTGCCATATAAATAACATCATCATTCGGTTCATATGTTAATGGTAAAACATCATATTTTATACGTCGAGGATCACCAGCATCGTTTATGTTTAATGAATTCAAAATAGTACAGGGTGGTTCAAAACCTTTACGCCCCTCAGGTTCAATCTTACAGTCAACTGGTTTTCCTTATGCATTTCATACCAAATCGCAGCCGATGAAAAGCTGCGTCCATTGGTACTATATGGTAAAGTATGTGAAGACTTTTAATGGTGCATACCCGAGAGTGTGACAAGATTAACACTTTTTTGGCGTAGAAAAGAAATGTTTCAATACTAGAAAAATGAAATGGAACATGTGTCTTGGATGTATTTTCATGAATCGGTAGGGCTCGATGAGCTCTACAAAGCTACATCATTTGGAAATACTTTGGGCCACCTTTTTCTGATAAGAGATTCAAGGACTACTTTGAGATCGTCAAAAAAATATGTAAAAACTTTATTTTTCTCTGCTAAAAAAGTGTTAATCTTGTCACACTCTCGGGTATTCACCATTAAAAGTCTTCACATACTTTACCATATAGTACCAATGGACGCAGCTTTTCATCGGCTGTGATTTGGTACGAAATGCATAAGGAAAACCAGTTGACTGTAAGATTGAACCTGAGGGGCGTAAAGGTTTTGAACCACCCTGTATACTTCAATTTGTTCTCAATGTAATGGTAACGTATCTAATCCTCCTCGTCATATTGATTCTGATTATCTTTGCAATAAATGTGCGCGAGCATATGAACATCAAAACTGCAAATGTGATTATCCACCTCCTCCTTCTACGCCTCCGCGTAGGAATGTAACAATACCATGTAGTATTGGCAGGTGTTGGTATTGGCAAGAACTGATCTTGGCGTTTAGGTCGATATAGATAAAAGAAGGGAAAATGGCAGCGTCTTGAAGTATTACATCAAATTTTAGTTTGTTTGTCAAACTGACGAAGGATTCAGATTTCTTGATGTCGACAGTCTTTGGCAAAGACTCTTTGCTGAAACATTTTCACTGTCGAGTACTTTGAACGTGTTGTTAGTTTGGCGAAAAACTAACATTTTATGTGATACTTCAATACTGTATTGGTATTATTAGATCTCTATATCCACGTTCTCACTGTTATTGTGCTTGTACATGGTACAATTATTTGTGTCAATGTGTGTGTTGCTAGCTGAATGCAAATAGAGAACATTTTCTTGTAAATATTGTTGAAAATCTGAACGGCACTGTTATTCTTGTCGTACTTGTTATTAGTCGCGGTGTGAATCTAGTCATTCAACAGAACCATAATAATGAATTCCATAAAAAAAAGATGGATATTTCGTCGAAAGATAATTTGATTGTATTTTTCATTTTCTCTAATTATCTTTGTATGTTTGACAAAGGAAGAGATTATTCGAACACACTTTTTCACTAGAAAAAACAACTGGGAACGTTTTTGGTGGTAAAAGTGCAGCGCACCAGAGAGAAACAAAAGTTGCTAAAAAATGTTATCATTGGTTTCAAACAGGTCTGATGGATAATTCGAGATTAATATTGGTAGCATCATATTTCGTTTTTTTTCGAAATATCAGATTAAATAATATGTTATGAAACTACAAAATACATTTAACATCGCTTTACTAGGTGTTTTTAAAATTTTTAAAAAGCATCGGTTTGTAACTTACTATTTTGTTTTGTAGATGAGAAGCATATCAAGCGAGATCGAACTAATATAGCTTGGTAGAGTAACGCCATTGTATCGAACTGCATCGAAACATTAAAAAACTGAAGTTTCGTTTAGCTGGAATAAATAACGAAAAACTATTACAAATAATCTTTTTGTCAGAGAACGTAAAAGAAAAACTAATTTGATGATGGAATTGTATTTCTCTTTCTACTTTTATTCCATAGTTGCTTGGTTTCTGCTTTGTTCATTCTTTCAATAAAGTAACGAGCAAGTGTGTTTGCTTTGTTCTACTCCTTGCTCTGTATAAGATTATTTTCAAAAGTAAGTAGGTGAAATTTGTACTTGAATGACAGCGAAAAATCGAAAAAAAAACAGATGACTATTTATATAAAGAAGAACGGTGATCGTTTTTTCATTTAAACAACAAACGCTACTAACAAGTTCACTTTCAACAACAAATTAACACAAGATCGGAATGAGTGGATCAAAACTGAATCAGAATGCTACTGCATCATTAGAGATTCGCCAACCACAACAACGTATTGTACAAAATTACCTTCTTATCTGGGTAGATGCCAGCATCGACCAAGGAAAAAACGATTGCCAAGATACACTCGCTCAGTTAAAGAATGTGATCAATGATGTTAACTTGTGCACGGAATCGAATCAGTGCATCCAAGCGCTCAACAAAGTTGACAAGGAACGAGCCTTTGTTATTGCATCAGGCTATTCGGGTCAATATTTGGTTCCTCAAATTCATGACATGCCGCAGCTAGATGCAATTTACATCCTTTGTGGTAACAAATCTAGACATGAGGGATGGACTCAAAATTGGAAAAAAATAAAATGTGTCCATACAAACATCAAAGAAATTTGCCAGGCATTACAACTGGCGATTAAACAATGCGACCAAGACACAATTGCCGTCAGTTTTCTTACGATAAATGAAATGACTTTAACTGAGAATTTAAATCAATTGGAACCAACTTTTATGTATACCCAACTATTCAAGGAAGTTCTCCTTGATATCGAACATGGTGATAAGGCAATAAAGGACTTAACAGCTTGTTGTCGCGAACTTTTTACTGGTAATTCAAGTGAATTAAAAATTATTAATGAATTCGAACGTGACTATGATCCAAAAAACGCAATATGGTGGTATACACGTGAGTGTTTTACTTACAAAATGCTTAATCAAGCACTTCGTACTTTGAATGCGGACATAATCATTAACATGGGCTTCTTCTTATGTGATGTACATACCCAAATTCAACAGTTATATGAACAACAAGTCAGTAGTTATGCAAAAAAACCTTTTATAGTTTATCGAGGGCAAGGTCTTATGAAAGCAGACTTTGAAAAACTTCAGGAAGCAAAAGGTGGACTAATATCATTTAACAATTTCTTGTCGACCAGTAATAATGAAAAAGTGTCTCTAAGTTTTGCTCAAAATGCTTCAACAGAACCAAATAAGGTGGGCATTCTCTTTATAATGTTCATTGCTCCTTCTATTAAATCAACGCCATTTGCCTCCATCAAAGCGGTGAGTTATTTTAAGGAAGAAGAAGAAATTCTCTTCTCAATGCACACAGTGTTTCGGGTGAATACAATTAAACAAATAGACAGTAAGAGTCAACTTTATCAAGTTGAATTACAATTAACGTCGGATGATGACCCACAATTACGATTACTTACTGATCGGATACGGAAAGAAGCTGTTGGTAGTGGATGGCAAAAATTGGGCAAATTATTGATTAAAATTGGTCAATTTAATAAAGCGGAAGAAGTTTATAACGTTTTACTTGAACAGGCATCTAATGAGAAAGAAAAAGCTATGTGTTATAATCAACTGGGATATGTCAAAGATGATCAGGGTGATTATGAAAAGGCTATTTGGTATCACGAGAAAGGACTTGAAATTAAACAAAAAACTCTTCCTTCAAATCATCCTGATTTGGCTACTACATACAGCAACATCGGTACTGTGTATCACAAGATGGGAGAGTACTCGAAAGCACTTTCATTTTACGAAAAAGATCTTGAAATTTGTCAAAAAAATCTTCCTTCAAATCATCCTGATTTCGCTACTTCATACAGTAACATCGGTAGTGTGTATGATACCATGCGAGATTACTCGAAAGCACTTTCATTTTACGACAAAACAGTTGAAATTCAACAAAAAACTCTTCCTTCAAATCATCCGGCTTTGGCTACTTCATACAACAATATCGGTAGTGTGTATAACAACATGGAGGATTACTCGAAAGCACTTTCGTTTTACGAAAAAAGCCTTGAAATTCGACAAAAAACTCTTCCTTCAAATCATCCCGATTTGGCTAGTTCTTACAACAACATCGGTTTAGTGCATAACAACATGGGAGATTACTCGAAAGCACTTTCATTTTACGACAAAACAGTTGAAATTTGTCAAAAAACTCTTCCTTCAAATCATCCACATTTGGCTACTTTATACAACAACGTCGGTAGTATGCATGTCAAGATGGGAGAGTACTCGAAAGCACTTTCATTTTACGAGAAAACACTTGAAATTCAACAGAAAACTCTTCCTTCAAGTCATCCAGATTTGGGTACTTCATACAATCACATCGGTTTGGTGTATTACTATATGAAAGACTATTCGAAAGCACTTTCATATTATGAGCATGCCCTTGACATATGGCAACGTGCATTATCTCCAACTCATCCTCATATAAAAATGTTGAAGAACAGTATTGAAATTGTAAAAAAGATTTTATAAGGAATAATTGATAAATACATAAATAAAATTTGTTCACTTATTTTTAATCAATTCCAGTCCGTAGTAACTTCCGCGCAGGTACAGACAAAAACTCGGCAAATAATAAAAATGTAATCGACAAAACCGACTGCAGAGCTAGGATGTAAGTATTTGTATTCGAGTATTTCGTGATTTTTAAGTAGAAAAGTACAGGTTGATTGTCGTATTACGTTTCTTTTTTAAAATTGTTTCATCGTTAATTATGTTTATTTTATTCCTTTCCGATGTTTGTTCATAAAGGACCCCGCCGGATTTATGATGAAATCTGCCACCCTTTAAATTCAATTTGAAATAGAGTGGAAACATCAGGCACATGCTTCTGAATATTTCTACATATTTCTTTTTCGAGAAATTCATTCCTGGGT